GGGGGGGGGGGGCAAGGCCCCCCACAGCAATGACTGAAAGAAACCTGATTAATTATAAGGACTTTATGAACTCGTCTACTTTACCTTCTCAAAGACTATATTGTCAGAAGATAGTATTCAAATTAATTCTGTAATAAATATTTTCATTAAAGATTTGGGTATCATCACCATGGTTTTGGTTTTTGCTTTTTTGTTTGTTTTAATTATCAGTAAACACTTCTAGATAAATACAAGTGCTTAGACAAACTAGTGGGTTAAAAAATCCAGATGAGGGCTGAGGATTTAGCTCAGTGGTTCCACTTCCTGCCTCACAAACATAAGGACCCAAGTTCGATCCCTGGTACCAAAAATAAAACAATCCAGATGACAAAGAGAAGACTGTGGCTTCATGCATTTTTAACTAAAGCTATACGATATAAAGTTATATATAAGGTTGATTCTTCAGTAATAATTACTATTTACTCACTGCCCATTGACTCTCTGACATTGCATGAAGTATTGTTTTTTCAAAATAAAATGACAGTTTTTAATGGTTTTCTGAGATTTTCATAAGGATCAGATGAGGAAATGAAACAGCCTACACATGACCAGATTGACAAATAGCACTGCACTGAAAATATTAGTGAGCAGTCAGAGAAACACAGGTTTTATATATGTACATATTTCTATGAAAAGATATAATGTCTGTCTACCATAGTCAGAATGTTTGTGTTTCCCTCAAATTTGTATGTTGAATGTTTGAGCCCAGACTAGGTGACTTAGCAACTTAGCAATATCCTGTCTCAAAATAAAAAAAGAAAAACATTGTTTAAAAAGGACTGGAGATACAGCTCAGTGCAAAGGACTTGGGTTTGATCCCAAGTACCACACACACAAAAATAATTGAAGTCCTCACCCATAGTGATGGCATTAGGAGGAGAGTCCTTTGGGAAGTGATAAACTGAGGGCATGCCCCTCATCAGTGGGATCAGTGCCATTTTAAAAAGAGGCCACAGAGAGCCAGCTGGCCCCTTCCATCATATGAGGATGCAACAAGCAGGTGCCGTCTATGCACTGGGAAGTGTACCCTCACCATACATTGAATCTGCTGATGCCTTTATTTTATACTGTCTATCCTCCATTTTTTTGAGAAATATTTGATGTTTATAAGCTACCTGGTTTATCGTATTTTGTTACACAAGCCTTAATAGAATAGTGTACCATCTACAACAAGAGCATGTCTTTTTTCCAAGACAGTTCAGAGGAAACAGAATTCTGTCATGGAGATGAATTGATCTGGCAGGCTGCAGAGTGTTAGGAGTTTTCTATATGGTTAGAAACACCTTGGTCTGGGTTTGATGGGTTATGTTTTTGGTGCCCCTGCTTTCTTTACATTGTTTTCTGTGATCTTATTGGCATATTATTATGAAATATAATACATTTTTCCAGGTGCAATGCTGCATGCCTGTACTCCTAGCTAGGAGGGGACTGAGGCAGAAAGATAGCAAGCTCAAGACCAGCCTGGGAAACTTAGTGAAATCCTGCCTCAAAATAAAAAAATAAAAGGGCTGGGGATGTAGTTCGGTGGAAGACCCTGAGTTCAAGAACTCATACTACCAAAACTGTCTGCTAAAAAAGACACATTTGGATAGATGAATGGATAAATTGATTGAGTGATTGATTGATTTTGCACTTGCGTTTATGTTCAAAGTGTTGAAGAGTCTACTTGAAAGACAAGGCTCAGAAGAATCCATGAAGTAAAAGACTTGTCCTGAGTCTGTGGCCAAGTGAATAACTTGTGCATTCATTTTAATGAAATTCTTTAATGTGAGTTTTTCTTTTGCTTAGGTTGTTCGAGGAGCTCTATGAAGATCATGGTGATACCCTGTCCCTTCAGTATGGTGGTTCTCAACTTGTTCATCGAGTGAAAACATACAGAAAGATAGCACCGTGGACCCAGCACTCAAAAGACATCATGCAGACTTTGTCCAGATACTACAGCAATGCCTTTTCAGGTAATTATGGAATAATAGATATTTCTAAAACTAACCATGCTGTGCACTTTCCTCTTATTCATGTACTTTTTGAAGCTATTGGTTAAATAGTTAAAATTAAATATTTTTAAAATTTATATAAAATTCTCACTCAGAAAGCACTCAATAAATATTTGTTCAATAGATAAATGATTAAAAATTTTATATTTTAAATAGGCATGTTAGCATTTTGACACCCATAGGTGTAGTTTTTTTTTAATGAAACATGCTTGGATTTTGTGGCTTCTGTCTCCACCTATACTTCTGCTTGCACTTTATTGGTTTGATAGTGTTCAATCACTTTTTTCAAATAGGAATCAATATCTTGATAGTGGTCTAAAAATATGAATTCCTCCTATATTTCTGCTTGCACTTTATATAAAAATTGGTTTGATGGTGTTCAATCACTTTTTTCAAATAAGAATCAGTATCTTGAGAGTTGTCTAAAAATATAAATATTACTGGATTTAACTGTAAACTAAAAATTGATAGCAATTTTAACATTAGACTCATACTTCTTTCATGACTTACAGAAACTAAATGTGACAGGTAGTTGTGATGGTATTTTTTCTGCTTTCACTCTGATGGCATTGCCACTACAATAAATATCACAGACCAGGCTGGGGATTTACCTCACTGGTTCTACTGCCTGCCTTACAAGCACAAGGTCCCGAGTTTGATCCCCAGTACCCGCCCCCCCAAATCACACACTAAAGTGATTATGTGACAAATCCCCATTCACAGAATTTATAAAAGAAATGCCCAGTGATCATTTGCATGCATCTTCAGGTCTTGAACTAGATTAAAGATAAATGAGTTCCCTGCCCAGAGGAAGGGGATTCCGGGCCACTGTCTGTCCCGCCACTCCTGGCCCAGGAGAAGGGGCTTCTGAGCCGCCTGCCCACCGATCCCAGCTCAGAGGAGGTGAGGCACCCCCTTCCCACCAATCCCAGAGAAGGTGAAGTGCCTCCCCAACCCCCATTGAAAGGAGAAGACACGTAAATGAGTCACAAAACCAGACTTCCAGATCACCTACAGCAAACCCCAAAGGGAAATGAGATGGAACACTCTGATACTCAACCACCTGGACTCCCTGAACTGGCAACAAAAGAGGATCTAGAAAAAATGAAATCAGAAATAATTTCTCAGATAACAGGAAAAATTGTGCTCCTAGTGCAAGACATGATTAATAAATCTAGAGAGGACCTGAGGAACATGATGGAATCCCAACATAGGAAACAAATGGAATCCATAAAACAGATGCAAACAGATTTCCAGGAGATCAGAAACTCCACTGAAAGTCTACAGACCAGAATGAGCCAATGTGAGGACAGAATTTCAGATGTAGAACATAAGATTGCAATTAGTGACCAGGAAAAGAAAAATTGCTTAAAAATTCTAAGGGATGATGAGAAATCAATCCAGCAGCTGCTAGACAATGCAAAGAATAACATAAGACTGGAGTCAAAGAAGAAACAGGAGAGAGTGCAAATGACATAAAAAAAACTGTTCACAGAAGTGATGGCAGAAAACGTCCCAAGCAGGAGAAAAGAACTTGACATACAGATAAGTGAGGCATATAGGACTCCAAATAGCCTCGATCAAAAAAATCTGCACATAGGCATATAATTGTTAGGATTCCAGAAACTCAACAGAAGAACAAAGTTCTACAAGCAGTTAGAGAAAAGAAACAAATCACATACAAATGAAAGCCCATCAGAATCATGGAAGACATCTCAACGCAAACCCTCAAGGCAAGAAGAGCTTGGAGTGACATATTCCAAGCCCTAAAAGAAAACAGCCTCCAATCCAGATTGATGTTCCCCTCAAAACTATCTTTCAAAATGGATGGAGAAATAAGATACTTTCATAACAAAGAGCACCTTAGGAACTTCATGAATACCAAACCAGCACTCCAAAATATTTTAGACAGTATCCTAGGAACAGACAGTGAGGATCACAACCCCAGGAAGCAAAACAGAATGAACCCATCAGGCGTGACAGGAAATTAAATGTCAAGGAGGAGAATCCAACAAAGAAAATGTCATGACAATGATAAATCAGTGTGTATCAGTTATTACCATCAATGCTAATGGTCTCAATTCACCAATCAAACGAAATCAACTGGCAGAATGGGTCAAGAAGCAAAATCCAACAATATGCTGCATACAAGAAACACAATTCAAAATGAGACTCATAGACTGAAAGTTACAGGGTGGAAAACAATGCTCCATACGACGGGAATCCAAAACAAAGCAGGAGTAGCTATCCTCTTTGCAGATCAAGTAGATTTCAAACCAACACTGATTAAGAAAGACAAAGAAGGACACTGCGTCCTTCTAAAGGGAACAAGCCAAGAGGAAGAGATGACAATCATAAATACCTGTGCACCAAATACTAGTGTACCCAACTATATAAAACAAATACTAATGGACATGAAAAGTCATAAATGCACTAATACAATTGTAGTGGGGGAGCTCAGTACCCCACGGTCACCAATAGATCAACTAGACAAAAAATAAGTAATACAATACTAGAACTCAATCAAACTCTTGAACAAATGAACTTAACATATGTTTACAGAGTGTTCCACCCCACAAAATCAGAATACACCTTCTTCTCAGCTGCACACAGGTCATTCTCCAAAATAGACCACATACTCATGCATGGAACATGATTAAGTAAGTGCAAAGGAATTGAAGTTATCCCCTGTATATTATCAGACCATAGTGCGATGAAATTGGAGATCCATAGCAAAACAAACCACAAAAA